ATATATATATATATATATATATATATATATATAATTAACTTTAATTTTTGTGGTACTATTTTGTTTGAATGACAGCTAAAAATATTTTTGCTTATTGTTTGTAACAACACATTCAAATATATTTAATAATAATAAAAAAATAAAAACAAGTCCTGTAAAAGCTTTAAAATGCATTTAACAAATACGAGGCTGAGTTTGACTGAGTTTTTATTGTATTATTTAATATAAAATTTTTTTAAATATAATTTTTTTTAGTTTATGAATTAAATAAAAATAGTTGTTTTCCCCAAATAAAAATTTTACATATATTACAGTTATAAATAATAAAGTATTATATTTTAACATATCTTATATGCATTATATATGGTTATCTACCGGTAATAATATCTATATTATTGATATATTTCCTTGAACACTCAATCATATGTTTAGTAAATTTATTATTTTGTTTAATAATCAAAATGTTTGACTTAATTAAAAAATATATAGTGTAAATGTGTCATAAATATATATAATATATTGTTTGCTGAAACTAAAAAACATTTTATAATATATTTTAATAATTATGATAGGAAAAAGTTTCTGGGATATTTCTTATGAATAAATAAAAATTATCATTGTAAATTTATGCAATAAAATTTTTTAAAAATAATAAATTATTAATAATTTTACTAAATATACAAAATACATAACATTTGCTATTTAAATATATAAAATAATTTTCTAATAAATTATATAATAAATGCCATAAAATGTATTATTATTTTTTCAAAAAACCAACACATTTTGAAAATTATTTTTGTGTTGAAAAATCATCATAAAGTTTAATTCATAAATTTTCACAACCATTAGTTGTGTGTGAAAATATAAAATGCAGTCAATTTAAAAATAATTAACTTATCGTGTAATGTATTGGCTTTTATTATATAGTACTGTATATTCCTTTACTACAGTATTATAATAAATATATTACTATTGTATTACACAATAATTGTAGAGAAAATAACAATAATAAAAGAGGTAAATAAAGTGAAAATAGTTTATCAGTATTAGTGATAGAGAGAGACTAACATTGAATTATAAATTATTACTATTTATATATATATATAGTTTGAGATAAAGTATAGCCCAACAAAAAATATATGTTTGATATAATAAAGTATATTATATATAAAAAATGAGAGATGAGAGCTGTCTTTGTGTAGGAGATAGAGGAAGAAAAAAGATTTTTTGGGTCCAAAAGTATGCTCTCGACTGATAACAGACACGACTAAAGTAGACTTACATTAATTTAGAAAATTGTATAACAATTTTCAAGTGGATTATAGTGTGTGTGTGTGTGTGTGTGTGTGTGTGTGTGTGAGAGAGAGAGAGAGAGAGAGAGAGAGAGAGAGAGAGAGAGTGAGAGAGAGAGAAAGTCATGAAATATGAAACTCATCCACAAAACAGACACCCATCCAGAGTGTGTGTATGTATGTGTCATATAACAGACAATTTTTTACATACAATGCTTCGGTAGTATTCTCTCTCTCTCTCTTTAAAAGGCCTAACTATGCCCACTATTTAAGCCCTCTATACTAGTAATAATGGAATTTGGACTCTCTCTTTGATCTCCCTTTTCATAGACGAAACTTATATATATTTATAATATTACGGATAAGTAAGGGTTAGTTTGTATACTATTAATAATGTTGTGACAACATCTCTAAGTGAGAGTAAAAATAAATGAAGCGCTAGTTTTTGGTGAGCAATGAAAATAAATTGATATATTTGTTGATCACTTGTCGATGTCGTTAATGCCAATAAATGTTTCTAATAGTGTGTGTGTATCTAAATGTATGAAAAAGTTATCAATGAATAACAGTCGCTATAAATTATTAATAAACGACACACAATATTATAAAACTATACACTTATAAATATATATATACAGTGACAGACAGCACACTTGGCATTAGACAGACAGATCATACCATTGGGATATCATACCGTGTCATCAAAACATTTGTGGTAAACCATACATACTATTCATAATAATACCGTAGATATATACGGTATATATATATATATACAGTATAAATATATTGGAAATCGTGACTGAATAGTGTATTCATTAGAAAAGTGAAAAACCTCTTGAGATACCAATAATTTCATGATTTTCATTGACAGGACACAAGTCGATGCTTGTCGTCGACCTGATAGACAAAGTGCTCGACAATTCCCAATGGGATCTGATTTCAAGTCATAGGCAAACACTTTTATATTTATACGTTATATATATATATCAATAGTACAATATGTTGTAATAGTGTAATACATTGTAAAACACTAGGAAGTGATGTGTTGTCTGTGGCTAAACCATTGTATACACAAACATATTATCCGTGTTTTAGGGGTTAGCTCTATCAATGATCCCTGTGTTTCATATGTCAGACCCGACCAGACATTTAACATATTTTGACAATTCATACACAACTAAAACTTCACTCTCTCTTTCAGTAATCGATTCTAAGCTAAGATTTAGAGGAATAGAGGGATAGGGATGACAACATATGGAGCGCCAAAAATAAGAGGAATTGTTTACATTTGCAACTGATATGATGTGATCTGTGTTAGGAATCGCGTGTCTGTGTCTCGATTGGCACTCGTATATGAATAAATGAAAGTCCTTTACCTATATGTCTAATAAATGGCAATCAGCTATGTATGTATACAGTCATTGATGTCCGCATTCTTGTAGATGTAATCGACAGACAATTTTGTAACTCTTTTTATTTTTTTGGTCAAGAATTTGCCGATCAATGGTCTACAGAAAACTTCAATGAGATATCTGTCTGAGATATGAACTCCAAATGGCATTCCGTTTGTCAGTGAAAATCAAATGATTATTATTTGAGGAAAAGAAGAAGTCGTGTGCAGAACTCTTCCTGCTTTCACTTTAATCTATTGTCACTCAAATGGCAAAAATATTTGACCTAAAAGTAGAGCAAAAATCTTTCATTCATATTAGCAATTCATTCATTTACTACTGACCAGACGTTTACGGAAGAGTCAAATCAAAGATAATGACCATAAAGTTTGACAACTTCTCTCTCTCTCTCTCTCTCTCTCTCTCTTTCTCTCTCTGTCTGTTTTTCTTACTCTTTGCTATCATATAAACAGTCGATCCGAGAGAGAGAGAGAGAGAGAGAGAGAGAGAGAGAGAGAGAGAGAGAGAGAGAGAGAGAGAGAGAGAGAGAGAGAGAGAGAGAGAGAGAGAAAGACTTACTTAGTGTATGTTATGAATAAAAATGTGTGTTTTATTCAATAGTAACACATTTTCATATGGTTTTTAAGTGCTATTTTAAACACTATTACTACAATACAGTATAAAAGACTCGATTATTATTATAATTATTGTAGTGTACAATATATATATATATATACTGTATAAATATAATATTTGATATTTTTTCTGTAAATAAAATTAAGATTTTTTTATTGATAATTTTTATTTTTCTATAACAACTCAATGGAGTGCCACACAAAAGGAGACCCAAATTGTTGGGAAAAAATTGTGTATAAAATATTTGTTTAAAGTCTTGTTGTACCCATCTTTTAGTGTGTACTGTATATATATATTCACCTCACCCTTGAATGGCAGGCCTTTCAAATTGTTAGTAAAGTGTTTGCCAAATGATTTTTAGTTAAGCACTGGTGGCGTACAAAATCAAAATGGGACACTACTTTAATGTTTACAAAAAGGCACATTATATTTACAGACAGACAGCAAATATGGATCTGCTCTCTCTCTCTCTCTCTCTCTCTCTCTCTCTCTCTCTCTCTCTCTCTCTCTCTCTCTCGCAAAGTCAAGCCAATAGTCTTAATGTTAATTTTCATTGAGTGCCTTTCACACACACAATAAGGGGCACACAATAAGGCACCTGGAGTTTGGCATTTATCGAAGTCAAACGTCACACCAAATTCACGGGCCATTCGCCTGCCATCGACATCGCATACAATACTAATAATAATAATAATAATCATCACAATTATGTTTTTACAACCAAATCACTCAATCCAATAGGCATTCCTCCTCTTTATTTATCTAAAGCTTATGTATGCCATTAAAAAGTCACTTCAATATATACTGTATATATATAAAAGAGTGCCTTTAAAATGACAAAAAGTAATGGAAAGCCAATTATTAGCAATTTTTAGCTTATATACTGTACTTATTCTTTGGCATAACTGTGCCTTCATTTGTGGACTCAAAAGATTTTTTAAATAAAAAAAACTTATTGAATGGCACTTCAAGTTAAAAAAAAGTACATTACATTCTTGAAGTGTCAATATGTGCTCTCTCTCTCTCTCTCTCTCTCTCTCTCTTACTGTGTGTGTGTGTGTGTGTGTGCACTGCGCATCCCTGTCCTTCTTGACTGTCCGCATGAAAATTGCGTGACAAACCAGAAAAGGTGGTGTCACTATTGGTTGGCCACTCCTCAATGTGTGCCACCTTTTTCTAGTTTGTTAAGTCCTCTCTCTCTCTCTCTCTCTCTCTCTCTCTCTCTCTCTCTCTCTCTCTCTCTCTCTCTCTCTCTCTCTCTCTCTCTCTCTTGTGTTTCAAAAGTACTATTTTTCCTCTTCAACTATACTATCATATCATCCGTACAGAGACTTATAATATTGTGGCACATATTAGACACGACCAGCACCCGGACAGACCAGCAAACCCAGTCAGTGCACACATATACACACACCAAACACCATACACATGCACACAGAGAGAGAGACGACGACGACAAGTACACCACTACCTACTCTTCATTTAGCTTAAGAGTCGTCACCCGTCACTAAAGTGAACTCTATATTATATATATAAACAACAATGTCATCACTTTTTTTGTCATCAAACCCATTGATGATGGTTTGCTGATTTTGTGTGTGTGTGCGAGTGTTTGTCAATTTTCTATTGATATTTGTATTATTTAAAAAAAAATTAAATAGTTATTTGTATTGTTAATCCTACCCATCCATTTGGACACAAATTTGATTATTATGACCACTACGGTCACTGCCTATCAATATAGTAAACAACAACAACAACAACAACAACATCACCACCACCACCAACAACAACTACCCTCATCGATACATGCAGTGACCAACAGTGTTCGCCAAATGACCATGTCAAGAATACCCATGGAACAGGTATGTGTTGTTGTTGTTGATGCTGATTATGATGACAGTCCCATTTAGTTGGGTGACAATAAACTTGTTGTTAGAGTTTATTATAATTATAATTATTTTACAAATATTTGCTGTATATATATATATATATATATATGTAATAAATAGGTATTTGATTTGATTTCATATTAGTTATGTAAACCAATTATACATTATTATTATTTATATATAAAATGGTTGTATATATAAAATTATATAACTTTTTTGATTCAATAAAATACAGGTACTCTGACATAATGTTTGACAGTAATGTCTATAGTACTGTACAGTATTTTACAATATACTATATATATATATATAATCTATGTAATTTATTGCATTTTTGTTGAAAATTTAATATTAACAATTGTAGATGAATAGACTAACTCTTGATATAATAAATAAGCTAGGTCGACATGTCAATTGTAAATTGTTGTCCATATTTTTATTAGTCTCTCTCACACACACTTTGAATACACATTTTTTTTGGTGTAAATCATTGTCCAACAATGACACGTCACTATGCATTATTGGATCTGTATTGTAGAGTATATAGATAGCACACGACCCGATAGTAACCCATTTGGACACCTAATCCTCAGAGTGTTAGACCATTGTTTGGTCAGTCGGTTTTCGTTTCATTAGCCATTACGAGCCCTCAGAGTCTAACTCGTTATGACTGTTGTTTCTCTAACTATATATTTATACTGTATATATCAATTGGTTTCAATGGGGAAAGTCGAGAGCGGTTACCACATAAACAAACATTACTGTATTACATATAAAATTTATATATATTTATATTTATAAGCAAATATGCCATACAGTGTGATATAATATAACAACTATGGTTTGCCAGTTGTCTAACTATTGATTCAATTAATTACTCGAATGTTTGTTTGTTTTTTAAAAAAGCGGTTTTTAGATAAATTAAAATATTTTTTTTTGTGATTCCTGTATATTGACTTTATACTGATTTATATATCAGATAAACGCGAGTCTATGTATGTATGATGTATGTATTTATGTGTGTGTGTGTGTGTGTGTGTGTGTGTGTGTGTGTGTGTGTGTGTAATAAATTAATTAATTAAGGTTTTAAAAAATCATCACTTGTTGCCCAGCAATACCCTTAATGATTTTAATGACTTTCATCAATGGCAAAATATATAGTGCAATGGTAGCTATGGATGGATGGATGGAGAGAGAGAGAGAGAGAGAGAGAGAGAGAGAGAGAGAAGCCAGTGGAAAGTTAGATACATTGAGAAGAAAAAATGCATACAATTTACTGTATGTGGAGTATGTGTTGCACACATCGACTGTGTGTTTCTATCAATTTATGGCAGTTTATCAGTTAATTGATGTTTTCTGGAGAGAGAAAGAGAGAGTGAATGAGCAACTGTTTGCTAATTACATAAGCTTTTGGATAGGGCTGTTGGATAGGGCACACACACTGTTTGGTTGGTTTATATACAGGGCTGTCGAGGATAGACGCAAATTTAGGCGGCAATTAATTGTCTGTCTTTCAATTATTATCATACATAACATTGTATTTACACTATTATGTGTATATTGTGAATGTTAAGCCAGTAGTAGTATATACTGTACTACAGTATCATTGCTATTGTTAGTCGGAATTATAGACACAAAACAACTCATTTAATGGTGTTGTGAACAATACTGAGAACACTGTTATTATTGTGTTTATTATATTTATAGGACAAGTGGTATCTATTATGACCACTTGTGTTATGTGTGTGTGTTTGTGTTGTCTATTTATATGTGTATAAATTTATACGATATATACTGTATATAATAGTATAACATATACAGACAATTTATGTGACACATGAGTTGCTCTGTCAATGGTGTGTCCCAATGGATACATTGGAGAAAACTAACTAAATATCAATGTTTGCCACATATCATACCATATTCATAGGGAATCATAGCATTGATAGCAATAGTATACTACAGTCATATATATAGTCATTTAGTTTTATATTAACCCCACTATCACTGAGTAAATAATAGAGTACTGTTTTTTTGTGCAGTAAATGTTAGCCAAAAAAGCTAATATTGAATGGCAAACATGTAAATTATGAACATTCATATCCAACAACAAAATACTAACACTAAATGATGCCAATGACACGTACAATGAGTGCCCTAACGGCACATCCACTTCCAATAGACTCATATATATATATATATAATATATTTTGAGTGGACATTAGTTTTCTAGTTTGATGTTTTGGGTCATAGAGAAGTACTGTTCCCCACACATCCTCTCATCTATTATTAAAAGTTAGCCAAAAAAAGAAAGCCATTGCCGAGTGTTGTTTCCCCCCTTTCCTCCCGAATTCAAGACTCCAAACCTAAAAGTATTGTTTCGCCAGCACTGTTGTGTTGCTCTCTTTCTTTCTCTCTTTCTTTCTCTCTCTTCAATCCCCAGCGAGTTGACTGAAGCAACGCTCCAACACTTCCAGAGCACAACCATTACTTTGCTTAACATCCAACACCATCATAACCATCACATACATACATACACATTGCTAAACTGTATGGGAAGCTTAAGAGCAGCTGTTTTGGCGCACATCACTTTCATCATCAATATCACAATATCACTACTAAACTAATATATACAATATAAGACACAATGCCATCTCTCTCTCTCTCTCTCTCTCTCTCTCTCTCTCTCTCTCTCTCTCTCTCCATCTCTCCTTTTCCTACATCCTAAGTCTCTTTCTTTCTGTTCAATGTCTATAAGTTTAAGATATTGGCAAAAGGGAAGGGCATGTGGAGAGTTACTACAGTATAACACTGGTGATGCTTTTTATCAAGCAAGCAATGGATAACTAAGCTATACTACTGTATTAGTCTGAGACAAACATAATAGTCAAGTTTGTCTACTATTACTATAAAGTTTAATGTGTTGTTTGTAATAAACAACACAAATATTATATGAGACGATAGATAGTATAGTATGTGTGTGTGTGTGTGAGTCGTTGGCTAAAACCGCTAATCAGCCGTCACTACTATTTCTATTATATGAATAAATAAATATTTTTGGTCCAAACAGTTTTCCCAAACGGACACTAAGTTATGCAATGCCTTATAACACTTACAGTAATAATTGCTTACATTATGTAATATTATTACATTGCTTGCAATGGATGGACGCATTGAATTATTTTTATGATTTATTTCTCAGTTAATGTAATATCTCTTAGACAATGTATACTTTATATACATACATACTGTAGTTATATAAAAGTTATTATTAAAGTAGATAACTGTGCAGCAAGAAAAAGTTGATTACTTTTTTCTATGTGTGTATACAATTTAAAAAAAGTACAGTCATTTTTCATACATGAATTGACAATTATATAATGAATGGTACAATATTTCAGTACATATTATATATGTAACAAATATGCAGCAAATATTTTGAAGTATTTTTTAAATAGATGAATGTTATATAATATATTGTATGTATGTGTTGTTAATTTTTTTCTTTGAAATACTATTTTTAGGCAAACCATTGCTCGACACCCAACTGTTCCTGTGATTGCTTTACACCTGGAAAGAGCCAAATGCGCATCTGTGACAACTGTAACCACGGATGGATCTCACACGGTAAGGCATAATATAGTCCCATCACTGCACCATCACATCATCATCCAACATACATACACAAACCCATACAAAGACAGACGCACTATTTATCTATTGCACTGACATTGCAATCAATTGTTTCAAGTTGTATGCCATTGTATGCCACTCATAGATCTACTCTCTCTCTCTCTCTCTCTCTCTCTTTATCTCTCTTTCTTTCTCTCTCTCGTGTGATGGTCTGTGGCATATGTATGATATACAACACAACACATTATAACAAGTAATGCAAAATAGCTAATGAATGTGTCACTGGATATATAGATTCTCATTATTAACGCTTCATTCACTCACGTAATGCCCATATTATACATAATAAGCAAAAGCGACTCTTTTTTCCAGTTGTATCGCCAAATGGTATGAACTGGTATTACAGATATTTGCTATTTTGTATTTTAATTAAGTTTAACCCTTAAATGACTCAAAAATGCATCGACAATATGAAACAAAACACACAAAAAATTAATCATATAAATATACATTATTAACTATCAAATTTTTATGCACACATTTTTTTTGTGTTTAACACAACATTTTTTCATAACAACATTACTACATTGTATTTACATAAAAATTATTAAATATTATTATAATAATAAGAAATGCTAATTTAGTTAACCTCTAAAAATAATAATGATATGCTAACATAACAATATAATTTATAATGTTGCAATATAATCAGCAAAATGTTAAAATAAAATTAATCATTGAATACATTAGTAATTTAGTGCAACTCTTTAAATATTGAGCACACAATATACTTTATAACTACAATATATTTTATATATAATATCATATACAGTATACTGTACTCTACTTGAAGTAATGTAAAAGTTTGAGTAAAAGGAGTTAATAATAATTTTGCAGACACTTACAAATACAATATATATTTATATGTGCATTATATATATAAATATATATATATATATATGTGTGTGTGTGTGTGTTAAGACATAATTTTGCAGTGGTCAGGCATGACTGCATTGGTAGGAAAGTGCTATTTGGTCTCAATTATTAATCAACAGATTCAGTGAAAAACCAAAGGGAAGCTCTCTGTTTGCCATATTGTCGGCGCTTTTCTTTGCCAGACAAACAATACCAGTGCCCACAATTGAAGCATTGGCACTGGTATTGTACTTCTATATAACTTATACTGTAATGGTGTAGACTTGTTTAATATATGACTATCCATTGTATTGAGGTGTCTGTCCAGTTGTTTACGGATATTCATATACAGTATATATATCATATAATGTATATACAAATATATATTGTATTGTATTTCAGTTTTGTTTAACTAATTGTTTTAACCTTATGAATGAATATATATACATTGTTTATGTATACTTTTTGACAATGTATATGTGAATATTTTGATTAATTATAAATTATTGTCACATATTTTTTAAAACTATTTAATTAAGCTATTAACAGTGAACAATTTGTAAGTTAATACAATACTATTAGTAAATTATTAATTAAATAGCTAATTTTGTAATTATCATATTATGTGGTGTTCCTTTATACTATAATTAGTTATAATTTTTTTCTAATTCATTATAACTACTTTAATAGTTGTTAATAGTTTAAAATTAATTAATTAAACAATAATAATAATAATGATGTTTAAATTGCTATTCTTTGTGTTAAATATATATATTCTAAAGAATATAATGACAAAAAATTTGGTGTAAATTTGTTGGCAAAAAAAAGAGAGAAAGATTTGACCCCTGAAAATGTGGTGTCACTGAATTGTTTTGATAGAAAAAGGCAAGCGATTAGTTATGAGTAGTTGGAGTATAATTCAAGCATAAGGTTGAGGACATTCATAACAAAATACTAATCTGATTTCTTTATGCAACTTCAAGCCTACAGGGGATGTATGTGTAGGGGATGTGTGTGTGTGTGTGTGTGTGTGTGTGTGTGTGTGTGTGTGTGTGTGTGTGTGTGTGTGTGTGTGTGTGTGTGTGTGTGTGTGTGTGTGTATATATGTATATATATAATATACTGTATATAGATGAGACATAAGTTAATATAAAAGTTTGCATCAGACAAATGTCAAATTGTTGGCATGGGATGTGTAGTCAAGGGACACACCAATCTTGACCTGAGAAATATGGCATTTGGGATTGCGAACAGTGGGATATTGTCAGGACCGGGAGGTTGCAGAGTAGTGCGCTTCTACTACTCTACAGTACTTACTCATACAGTGTTATATACGGAATGGTATGCTGTGTAGTACACTATTTTGCATTTGTGTTTTTGCTGATAAACTGGTAAATGACAAACTTTGAAAAATTTCACATCAGATATCACATACACACACATATATATAATACATTTAAATTGGGACCCGGCTTTAGCTGTTAAAACTTACTATTTTTTTTTGTTAAACAACAACAACATATAATAATATTCTTTAAAGTTTTTAGCACAGACTGTCATTTATATATTGCACTGGTAGTTGAAATTGTTAAGCAGTGGTACCTTATTATGTGAATATATATTATATGAAATATATTTGGTTTGTGATCACAATTGACTGGAGAATTGAGTTTTTCTTTTAGCATCTTTTTAGTAAACTTTAATAGATTCTGGTTCTCAATAGTCAAATATCAACTCATATATTACTTATATATTTTATATGTATAAATTGTCTAAATATATATATATATACACAGTATATATAGTATATATATATAAATATATAAATTATATACTAACGTATATTCTTGTTTTTAATATATTAAGTTAGTTTCTTTACCCTTATATAGCTATAGATATTCCACACAATTGTCTATAACTACATTAAAGTATTTTAGTTAGTATTATATACAGTATATATATATATATATATATATATGGTGTACCATAGAGTATACATATTATATACGGGTAGTACGGTATGCTTAATATACCGACACTCTGTGTGCCCTAATCTCACACCAGAGAGTATTTTAAAGCAAAACACAAAAGCTTACGGTTTTGTAGTTTTAACAATGTTTGCGATGCTTATGAAAAGTGCAAATTTTTTTAGGTTAGACTCTAGTATTGTATTATATGTGTGTTTTTGGCCTTAAGCAACAAATTATACAGTTGTTTGAGCCAAATATCACTGATGACAAATGTTGGCTCATAAAAATTTTGCATCGAAATTGCTGAACAAAAAAATAAAATAAAATAAATATAATATTTTTGTATATGAAAGTGTTAAACCAAAAAATAAATTGTTGCCGTATATATATAAATTTATTTTATTAAAACTAATCATAAGAAATTGTTAGAAACAATAATAATAATAATATATTAATACTAGAAATAGTAATAATAAGAAAAATACGAATAATAATAAAAGTAATAATATTAATAACAAGAATTTTCTTATATATACTATTCAAATGTTAATATAAATATATTTATACAGAAACTAATCTTAACTTTTTAGTTAGAAAGAGGTTAATTAGTTTATAGTCCAAAACACCAAAACTTTATATATATATATATATATAATAATTTTATTGTCTGTTAAATTATTGCTTCATAAAAATATTTTCAAATTAAAAACAACATATAACTCATTTAAGTAAAATATAATATTTATATTTTTAATGCCAAATAACTACTAAATGTTTACTGTGGAAAAAATTACTTGGATTTTTAAAAAAAATAAAACTTGTCTCATAATATAATATACATAAGATATATTGCAGTGTTTTTTTTGTTGTTGGTGTAAATAATAAAACCAAATTCAATTTGCATTAAATCAATAAAAATCAAATTGTGCTAAATTTTATTATAGCTTTGTGTGTAAGTGTGTGTGTGTGTGTGTGTGTGTGTGACCTTTAATTAATCCAATGTTTATTGTTTTTGTGTTTGTGTGTGTATACTATTGTGAAGTAAATCATTTATAAATTTTATAATATTATAAACTGTGAAAAAATGACAAAAAAGTGAATTTAATTTTTCTAATGCATAATCAGTTAAGTTTATTTAAATTAATTTAAATAATTTGTATTTATTATATACTATTTTATTACTAATTTATTGAATTTTTCAAACAAATAAAAATTCTCAGAAATAACATGATATTTATTTAATTAATAAAAACTTGGAAACTATTTTTGTTATTTTTTATTGTTTCATCTTTAATTAACTGATTTATTAATGAAAATTGTTTAAACATATTTAACTTTGTGAAAAAAACATTGTTATTATAAAAAAAAAATTGAAATAAATGTTAGTTTAGAATATAATCAGTAAATAATAATCTATTTGAATTAAATAATGCAATTTATATTGCAAAATAAAATATTTAGCTTTTTTAAAAATAATAATAATAATGAATAGGTAGGGCTATAACTACTTCTAACACAACTATTATTAATACCTGTATTATAATACTGTATGTAATAATAACTATTACTTTGAGATGCCTTTTATAAACGTCATACCTTTTTTTAATGAAAAATTTCTTTTGGGAGACATTAATAGACACAAAATAAATTGATTGAATAAATTTCCCATTGATTTTTAAATATAAATTGTCTTTTACTTATAAAAACTTATATAAGAAATGCATTGATTGATGATTAAAGTTTCTGTCTGTCTCTCTTTCTTTCTTTCTTTCACTCTCTTTGAAAGTCATCAATGAAACTGACATTTATTGTCCAACACCAGCAACAGCCACAACAACAACAATACTAGTGATTCACTTAATGTCCAACAAAAACATCAAATAATTGCAGAGTTTTTTGAACTTAAATTACTGATCACATGTGAATCAAATCATAATTTTTTTATGTGTGTGTGTGTGTGATATCAATTTGATAGGTTTAAAATTGATGCATACCTTTCAAAAGCCAAAACACTAACAGTGCTATCTTATATATACTGTATTTATAAGTTATATAATCATTGCTTTTATTAGGTGTTTAATAACTGATTGGTTGCAATAAACTAAAAGC